TTATATATAATATCCTTTACCTTGAGGGTGTAGTGACAGTGAAAAGCATGAGGAAAGCTATGGGATGCCGGTAAAGTTTCTTTCTTTTTTTCTTTTTCTTTTTTTAATAAATTTTTATTGTTCATATTATTACAAATGTTCCTTTTTTTTCCCCGCCCCCCTCCATGGCTCTCCTCCACCAGGTTCCCACCCCACCCTCTGCCCTTTCCCCATCCCCCATTGTCCTCATCCATAGGTGCATAGTTTATGTTGTCTCTTCCCACATCCCCCTCTCCCCTTTTCCCCAAGAATCGTCAGTTCACTCCCCTTCCATACCTCTGATTCTATTATATTCAACAGTTTGTTCATCAGCTTTTTTTTTTAATTTCCTTGGTTTTTAGATTCACTTGTTGATAGTTATGTATTTGTTTTTCATAATTTTTATCTTTATTTAATTTCTCTTCCGAAAGAAACCCCTTCAGCAATTCATATATCGGGTCTAGTAATAATTAATGTCGTTTTTAAACATTCGTTTAAAATCTTGCTTGGCATTGACTTGTATTGACATAACCTTCAAACACGTGGTATCTACAGAACATGTGAAGTGCAATTAACAAGTTTTGCTTGAAAAAGTTTGTGTTTGGTTTGGTTTTTGTTGCAAAACTAGAGCTAAGAAGATGGCGGATGAAGAGCATATTCGGCACTGCATGCTTTACGAGTTCCAATTAGGAAGAAAAGCAAGTGAGGCTGCAAAAAACATCTGTAGTGCTCTTGGTCAAGATGCAGTTAGTGCCAGAAAATGCCAGCGTTGGTTTGAGAAATTTCGCAACGGAAATTTTTCGTTAGATGACAAGAGTGGTCGAGACCGTGTGTCCAATTTTGATCAAGAAGCTCTTCAAGCTCTTTTGGTGCAAAATCCTCAAATTACCCAACAAGAGCTTGCGACAACTTTAAATTGTTCACAAAAAACAATTTCCAATCAATTGTGTGCATTTGGCAAAGTCCAAAAGTTTGGAAAATGGGTTCCTCATGAGTTGACCGACAACAACCATAATCAAAGAGTCACAATTTGCAGTTCGCTCCTCTCTCGTCAAAACCGTTTGCCGTTTTTAGAGCAAATTGTTACCAGAGATGAAAAATGGGTGCTGTATGTTAATTTGAAAAGGTGGCCTCAATGGTTGGACAAAAATGAGGCTCCGCAGCCCACGCCAAAACCTGACTTGCATGCGAAAAAAGTGATGTTGTGTGTTTGGTGGAATTTTAAAGGAATTCTTCATTATGAACTTTTACCATCTAACCAAACCATTACAAGTGCAGTGTATAGTGCCCAATTGGAAAGGTTAGCCCAAGCTTTAAGAGAAAAAGAACCCGCGCTGATTAATCGGAAGGGCGTAATTCTTCACCACGATAACGCACGACCGCATACTGCAAGAATCTGCTGAAAAACTGCGCCAGTTGGAATGGGAAGTTCTCCTTCAACCTGCATATTCTCCTGATATTGCCCCTTCCGATTACCATTTGTTTCGTTCTTTGCAAAACTTTCTTCTTGGAAAAAAATTTAATAATGAAGAATGCCTCAAAAATGCATTGACCGAATTTTTTGCATCAAAATCACAAAAATTTTACAACAGAGGGATTAAAATGCTTCCTGAACGTTGGGCACAAGTAGTAGAAAACAACGGCAACTATATTGTTGGTTAAATTTTGTTGTGTTGTTTAAATAAATTCGATTTAAAAAAAGTATTAGAAAACGACATTAATTATTACTAGACCTAATAATTCTGGTTTTGTGGTGATGAACTCCTTTAGTTTTTTTTAATTAGTGAAGCTCTTTATCTGACCTTCGATTCTGAATGATAGCTTTGCTGGGTAGATTATCTTTGGCTGTAGGTTCTTACTATTCATCACCTTGAATATTTCTTGCTATTCCCGTCTGGCCTGCATGGTTTCTGTTGAGAAATCAGCTGACAATAGTATAGGTGCTCCTTTATAGGTAACTACCTACTATGCTCTTGCTGCTTTTAATATTCTCTCTTTATCTTTTGCTCTTGGAATTTTAATTATGATTTGTCTTAGTGTGATCCTCTTTGGATTCCTTTTGTTTGGAGTTCTGTGCGCTTCCTGGACTTGTAAGTCTAATTCACCAAGTGGGGGAAGTTTTCTGTCACTATTTCTTTCAGTATGTTTTCGATATCTTGCTCTCTCTCATCTTCTGGGACCCCCATAATTCTGATGTTGGTTCACTTGAAGTTGTCCCAGAGGTTTCTTACATTATCTCCAATTTTCTGGATTCTCTTGCCTTCTTGCTTCTGCAGAGGAGTGTCTTCTGGCTCTTTATGTTCCAAATCTTTGATTTGATTCTTGCGATCTTCCATTCTGTTTTTAGGACTCTGTATAATATTTTTTATTTCAGACAATGTATTCTTTATTTCTTGTTGATCCCTTATCATTTCTTGTTGATTCCTTATTAATTCTAGTTGATCCCTTTTCATATCCTCATAGGTCTTATTGACCTTTTCTAGGAAATTCTTGAAAAACCTTATAAGCGTGGTTTTGAACTCTATATCCAGTCACTTTTTGTCCTCCATTTCTTTCATTTGTGATCTATTTTGTTGTCTCGGCATTTTCGCAGCTTCCCTGATGGGGCGGGGTTTCAGGGTGGAGCCGACAGCCTTGGCTTCCGTCAGCCCCGCCCTATGCAGTTCCTGAGTCTCAGTAATCCCCAGGGTCCTTCAGTACTTGTTGCAAGCACCTCTGAAAGAAAGGTGCCCTTGATTTTCGCCTGCTACCAAACAGTCTAGGCTCTCCCCCAATGAGCCTGGAACTGGGGTTCAGTTCAGTTGGAAGTGGAGTTGGAGGTGGCATTCAGAGCAGTCTGGAGCTTTTGTCTCCTTTCCCCCAGAACAATCCCGCGGCACAGCCAACCATCCATTCTCTGTGCGCAATGTGTGCACCTCCGGGACCTCCTTTCGCCACTCCCCCGGGGTTCCGCCTTACAGCCCAGCTCCCTATGGATGAGCCTGGGTTTCCCAGGGTCTGGCCTAGAACTGGGGTTCAGAGCAGTCGGAACTGGGGCCCGGCACAGTCGGAGCTTTTATCTCCTTCCCGTTAGGGAATGCCAGCCAGGCACTCAGCTGCCCCTCCTCTCCGGCTCCGTCCTCTCCGCGCGCCTCCGTACCTTAGGCTTTACAGCTCCTCCGCTCTTCCTTTTGGTTTTCTCCTTGCTTCTCGTTGTAGAATTTCCAGTTAGTCGACTTTCCTGTAGTTCTGGGTAATGTCCATTTTATATTTTAGTTGTATTTTATTGAAATTGTTTTGTGCGGCTGCGGCTAGGTGTTTACCTGTGCAGGCATCTTGGATTCTCTAAAGTTTGTTTCTTGATCAGGTGTTTTGCTTGTGAGTTGGACTTGATATACGCATACATCTCTGTATAAATTTTATAAATCAATACAAAGTTTTAAAATATCTCCACTATACATTTGTCTTAAAATATTTCCACTACAAATTTGTCTTAAAATATCTCCACTGCAAATTTGTCTTTCTTTGTGGAATTATTAACCAGTTTAGTTAGGATTTGATATTTTAAATGGTTAAGTCCTCAGAGAAGTATGAAGATGAAATGAAATAATAAATGTAAATTATTCACTTTTAACCTACTGAGTCATGCATTCTATGAAAATTTTTGGAGAACCTACTATGTACACAGCAGAATCAGCTATCACTATTAGCCCTAGTGTAATTGCCTATTTGTGTTCCTCCCATAGACAGAGACTAAATCTGTTTTGTTCATGTTGTAAACACAGTTGTTTAACATGGTTCCAGTCAAATAGTGACTCTTAATGGAATACTGAGTGAATATATTAATATTATAGGTTAAATAACCTCTTGTGGATCACTAGGCAAAAGCATTTCAGTTTCAAACAACTGACTTACAAGTGATCTTTTGGAATTCATTTGTAAATTAAGTGCAATTGAAGGCTTTTCAGCATCAATATTAAATTAATAATCACAAGTAAAATTTCAGGCACTTCTCCTAATGCCCCAGAAGTTGTGTAGTCCAAAACAAAACAGGGTGAAAATCACAATGCAATTATCACAAGAATCCATCAAAAGCCTTTAACTACACTAGTTAAAAAGAGTGGAACAGATTGACTTCTTGATATCATAATGAAAATGCAAACAACTATGACTAACCACATACCATATCAAAATAGAACATTGCATTGCATGGCAAGAAAGGAAAAATGTCTGTGTTTTAAGCAATCAAAGAACAAATTGAAAATGCAAGCAACTGGAAAATGGGAGTCCATAGAAAGTCCCTGTTAAAATACAGAAAATTTTCTATGTAATTTAGAATATACATGGTGGCTTTAAAAAAATTGTCTAGATTTCAAAAGGAGAGAAACATCAGTTTGACATCTGGAGGAGACCTATTTTGGGGGTGCATACCCACTCCACAATCTTTTCTGTGAAAGCTGCTTCCTTGACAAAAGATCAAGCCTACACAGCCATTTCTGTCAAGTAACCCTTCAGCCACAGCTTATTGGACAACTGGAGAACCCTTGACCTAAGATGAACTAGTCAGAATCTTTCTCCTGAAAACCTGAGTAAGTAGGCACTGAGTCTATAGGTAGTGATGAGCTCCAGAACTAGAAGATGAATTAGAGTTAGCACCGAGGCTATCTAAAGTTTCACAAAAGCCAAAATTATGAGAAGCAGACGCTGTAAGCAAAGAATACGGAGAAAAAATGATGGAGTATTTATGCAAAAAAGTGCAGAAGCAAGATAGCATGGATAGAATGCAGAATAGGAGAAAGAGCTCTGTTCCTGGATTTTCAGTCCCCATGAAACCCAACTATTTCTTGCTTTTTCCCCACCTTGCTCAATGATCTCTAATTTTTTTAAATTATTGCTTTCAGAGAGGAAGGGAAAGGGAGAGAGACAGATAGAAGCATCAATGATGAGAGAGAATCATTGATTGGCTGCCTCCTGAATGACCCTACTGAGGATCAAGCCTGCAACCCAAGCATATGCCCTTAACCAGAATTGAACCCAGAGTCCTTTGGTCCCCAGGCCAATGCTCTATCCATTGAGCCAAACCAACCAGGGTGATCTCTGAATTTTTTATTGGCCTCGGCCCCTGGTTTTGCTACCTTAACATCTCAGAACTTTGATGTCACTGACTTCAGACACCACTTTGCTTTCCACAATCCTCCAAGTGGCCGTATTTTGGATGGATTGCATGGAGTCGCTGTTGTCCAGGGTATAACCAAAATCAAAGTCCTCCCCTTCTCCTAGCAGGGCCTCATACTATTGTTGGGTACTGCCCCTCTGCCGGGTCTGGGCCAGCTCTGACTCTAGGTGCTGCAGCCCGTCTCCACCTCGCACAGGCTGCTCTCCAAACTGGCCTTTAGATTTCTCATCAAGTCAGGGTCAATCCCTTAGGATTGAACCCTACATCTCAGTTCCTAGTGTCATCGCAGCAGCTCCTATCTCAGTGGTCTGTGAGGTGACCACTGTGGTGCTCTCTTCAGTTTGCTGGGACCAGTACTTGTCCAGCTCCTTCCAGTTCTTCTGAGCCAGCTCATCATACGGACCTGGATACCCTGAAGTGCTGAGATTTGGGGCACCCAACTCTGTGGTCAACCCGGAGTTAGCAATCTGGCTTTGTAGACCATTTACTTCCTCCTCCTGGTTCTTCTTCATGAAGAGCAGCTGCTCCTTGAGAGCCTCGATCTCTGTCTCCAGCTGCAGTCGAGTGATATTGGTGTCATCAACAACTTTTCAGAGCCTACTGTCACTCTCCATAAACTGGCTCATGGCCAGCTCCCTCTCATATTTGTCTCTGAAATCATCAGCAGCAAGACAGGCATTGTCAAGCTGCAGAACGATGTGGGCATTGTCCATGGAACTGCCAAGGACCTGAGTCCTCAGGTCCTCTGTGATCTTGAAGTAATGTCCCTAGTCTCTTAGGGTCCCTTCTTCTCTAGGTGTTCCCAGATATTGCTCTCCAATCTCCAATTGTCAGCCTCCACGCTCCTCACCCTCGCCACTCAGGCACTGCATAGTTTCCTTCTTTCTCTTGATGCCTGTTATGTCCACCAGACTCCTGTCCATTTCTGTGGCCAGGTCCCCGGACTCCCACTCGCTCTGCACACTGGTCAAGTGAGACACGGTGATCCAGAAGCCCAAACCCCCAACACTTGCATTAGTTGCTGGTTGCTCCGCTGGCAGGCCAGCCCGGTTGCTGCGAGTCGACAGGAGCCCAGGGTCTGGTAGTTGATGAAAAAGCTGGTGTGGGTGCTGAAGCTCATATTGTTCAGGGAGGAAGGGAGAGGCCAAGAGTTAGGTTTCAGCTGCCCTTCTTTTTTGTTTGTTTGTTTGTTTTAATAATTAAAGTAATCTACTAACACCCTGACCCTGTCTAGGGTCCCCAATCCTACTTTTTACTTGAACAATATTTCTTCAGTACCTATCATTTGTCAGGCACTTTTCTTTGCACCAAGAATATAGTAGTAAATAAAAGAAAACAAAATCATTAAGTTATTGGTGTTAAATGATGTAATTATAATGAACATATGAACAGATCATTATAACACAGGGTGGTAAATGCAATACCTTCCGTGCTTAGGGTGAACATTACCCAAAATTTTATGTGAAATAGTTTGAGTGCAGTTTTGTATCTGGCAACCAAAAGAACCCCTGCTTGAACATCTAATTTAAATATAACTATACTAGAGGCCTGGTGCATAAAAATTCATGTACTGGAGGAGGGAGGTCTCTCAGCCCAGCCTGCCCCCTCCCACATTCTGGGAGCCCTCAGGGGCAGGAGGTGACTGGGTTAGCAGGGAAAGGCGACACCCCATTGCACCTCTGCTGCTGCTACTGCTGGCAGTGCAAGCCTCAGCTGGCCCTGGGCAGCTTGGCAGCTGCCTTTCAAGGCTTGCCTGTACCTCGGGCCAGCCCTGGGTGGCTGGGGGGGTTCAGAGAACATGGGGGTCTCCTGGGGGTGGGCCCGGTTGTGCCACAAGCCTGCCGCCCTGGTGGGACTGAGGGGACTAGGCACCACCATCTTATGACTGTGGGTGCCACCATCTTTGAGGGCATGGTAGTCAATTAGCATATTTCCTCCTTATTGGTTGTGGGTGCGCCTCTTTGTGTGACAGCATGAGGGTCAATTAGCATATTCCCTCTTTATTAGATAGGAGGATTGTTTCCACTTGCCTCCCCCTCTCCACGAGTGGTTAAGAATGCTAACAACCTACCAAGGTTAGAATGTAGGTTCCACCTCTCATTAGCATACAGCCTAGCACATATTATAGAACCTCTATGTGCATCAGCCTTTTCTTTTACCTCATGGGGTTGCTGTGAAGACTCAATGGGTAATTCATATGAAAAGCTTTAGAAGTATGCCTGACATTTGATACATGCTCAACAATTGTTAGTTGCCATTATTGTTGCTGTGGTTGTTATGTTAATCTTGTATTTGTTGTAATCTGAAGAAGTGTCAGCTGGGAAAGACTGGGTGGCAGTACTTGTTTGTATATGATTGACAGTTAAGGTCTGATACTCAGCTTTTTTTATTTATTTTTTTATTTTATTGATTTTTTACAAAGAGGAAGAGAGAGGGATAGAGAGTTAGAAACATCGATGAGAGAGAAACATCGATCAGCTGCCTCCTGCACACCCCCTACTGGGTATGTGCCCGCAACCAGGGTACATGCCCTTGACCGGAATCGAACCCGGGACCTTTCAGTCCGCAGGCCGACGCTCTATCCACTGAGCCAAACCGGTCTCGGCATGATACTCAGCTTTGCTAAACTAAAATGTGTTAGTACACACAGAGATTAGCTCATACAGTCAGGAAGTTCTGGTGAAGGTACTGGCTCTACTGACTCAACTCTCCTATCAGAGAACCAAGCTAACCATTCTCTTCCATGAACATATTCTTTTTATCGATAGAAATAGAGTAAAAGCCTTTTTTTCTTAGTAATTACCACAAGTATGCCTGCTCCCTGAGAGTAAGCACAGGCCACCTCGATTAGGTTTGGGGTGTGCCCAAATCTTATTCAGTCTTACTTTAACAGCAGATGTCTTAGATCTGTCTTTGCTGCTGATGGATGATCTCATTCATCAAAAGAACTTTTGAGAATTTTCTAATTTTATTTCTTTATTAACTTTATCTTAATGGGTGTGTTGCAGTCATCCCCAATATGAAAGATCATGTCAACCACTTAAGCATAACTTTATCCTATTCTAAATTACCAGGTGCTATTGGTCACAATAAAATGAACTAATATTCCTCAAGATGAGTTGATTCTAAAATTATCTTCCTCCTATCTTTTTGGAATCCTTGCTATTTAGATATCTCCACAGAGGCAACTGCTTAAAGATTTGACCTGTCTACTAGTATATGAGATAGAGCGTGGCACTTAAGTATGCTTTAATAGCTATAACTAAGAACAGATGTTTGTGTGTTTCATGGGCATCATAAATATTAAGAACGATGTTATATGGGTCGAAAAGCACTTTCCATTAATTGTTAATGCTCACTATGTGGATAAGAGAGGAAAATTCCTTGGGGAGAAATCAATATACATTTTAAAATATATATATTTTATTGATTTTTTACAGAGAGGAAGAGAGAGGGATAGAGAGCCAGAAACATCGATGAGAGAGAAACATTGACCAGCTGCCTCCTGCACACCCCCCACCGGAAACGTGCCAGCAACCAAGCTTCATGCCCTAGACCGGAATCCAACCCGGGACCTTTCAGTCCGCAGGCCAGCGTTCCATCCACTGAGCCAAATTGGTTTCGGCTAGATACATTTTTATATTACTGTATTTCAATTTCAGGGCTGAAGCTGAGAAGCATTGGTTTCTGATTCCTTGAATATCAGATGAAAATTCAAATTAATATAATGCTTGAGTATCCCTTGATCCTTTTAGTTCCATAGTGAGATATATAATATGTAACTCTAATAGGACATATGGTAGAAAAAGACAGCAGAGGTGAATTCAAAGGTCAGTTTCACCTCTTCCTGGCTCAGTGATCATGGACTTACTTAGCCTTTACAAATTTAGTTATCTAACCTATAAAACAGAGGCTAAGAATACCTACCAGATAGGACTGTTATTCAATAAGAAATATGTGTAAAGATTGAGTCAGTACCTGGATTACAGTTATTTCTGCTTTGTATCCAATTAGAGATGGTGAGTGCTTGATGTGGACTATGAACAAAAAGCAGCCAAAGTGTGACAAAATTCTTTGAATTTTTGGCAACTTAAGATTGTTCAGGGGTTATAAACTTCATAGAGAGAGCTTTCTCCAGTGAGATTTCATATTCTTCATTAATATCCCACATATCAGCCTATAGCCGGTTGATCTTTTCTAGCTGCCCACAACATTTATTTATTCATTTCTTATTTTTTTATGAGGAAGGGAGAGGGAGAGAAAAATAGAAATATCAATGATGAGAGAGAATCACTAATTGGCTGCCTCCCAGCAAAATCCCCTACTGGGGTTTGAACCTACAAGGGCATTTGCCCTTGACTGGAATCGAACCTGGGACCCTTCAGTCCACAGGCCAATGCTCTATCCACTGAGCCAGACTGGCTAGGGCTCATGCATCTTTTGTTTTTGTTTTGTTTTTAGTATTTTTATTGATTTTTTTTTTTTTTGCGGGGGGGGGAGAGAGAGAGAGAGAGAGAGAGGGAGAGAAACATCAATGTAAGAGGGTAATATCGACCAGCTGCCTCCTATATGTCCCCTACCAGAGATTGAGCCTGCAAGCCAGCTCAACAACCTTTTGATGCAAGGAACGATGCCCAACAAACTGAACCATACTAGTCAGAGGTATTCATTTCTTTTTCGAGGGCCCACGAGGGATCATAAAGACAATATGGTCTCTTACCTACTATCAACCGCATAGTTTAGTAGAGGACACACATACAAAAACAATTACAATATTTTCTCTAATAGAGAGCTATGGAAGGCCAGCAAGAGCACAGTTCTGTTTATCTGAGGGACACAGATGTATTGAGGAATGAGAAATCCAGGTACCTGTCCAGACACCCATACATATGGAATGCCGCCAAAACCAGAAATGTGCTAGTTAACTAAGATTTCTGCACAAAACTTAAAAAAAAAAAACAGAGGCTCTTTTTTTTTTTTTTTTTTTTTTACTTGATTTCAGAGATTAAGGGAGAGGGAGAGATAGAAACATTAATAATGAAAGAGAATCATTGATCAGCTGTCTCCTGAATGCCCCCTACAGGGAATCAAGCCCTCAATCCCGGCATATGCCCTTGACTGGAATCGAACTCAGGACCTTATAGTCCCCAGGCCAACATTCTATCCACTGAGCCAAACCAGCTAAGGCTGTACAAGACTTCTTACCTTCCTGGTGAATATAATTTGTTTTTGCTTCTACCAAAGAAGACAATGCTTTCCGATGGAAGTTTTAAAAAACGAAAGAACAAAAACCTCTTCTGGAGCGTTGACCTATGTCAGTTGATTAGTTTTGCCATGAGCAGCTGCAGATGAAGTCAACTAAAATTCTGAAATCAAATCATGCATAGAGCTAGGCTGTTTTTTCTGGAATGAATTTCAAACTGTTGAACAAACCCTAAATCTTAAACTCTTTGGTATGTCTCCCAAGTAGTCTGATAGAGTAAACTTCAAAAGAAAATAGAAATGAGAACAAGAATTAAAAAAAAAAAAAAAAAAAAGATATTTCTTCTTTCCAGAACCTTGACTCTACTTCAGCCAGTGAAAGTGGTTTGAACCCTCCTTTTAACATAATAATAAAAACGTTGGTTTCTCCCCACCTAAAATGTTGAATAAATATTTTAAGTGTACTGTTTTGAGGAAGCATCAAATTATTAGTCTGTCTGAGATACTTTCATGTCTCAATCTTTCTCTGAAAGCAGAATGGGATGGGAAAGGCACCAGAGAGGAGAATGTAGCTACCTCCAGGGCTGAAGTTTGTCTGGGAGGAGAAAAAGGAGAAAAAGAAATGCCTCCTCTTCCCCAGATTCATCATACCAAGGTCTATAATTTTACCATTATAAAAAATTGGGAAAAATAGTAGGAATCAATGTTTCCTGTTCATGACATGTTATAAACACAAATAATATCCAGGTGATCTAAAATTGAACTGTTACTTTGAATTTATGTAATCAATGAAGATTAATATCTTGTGCATGAGGGCACTTAATATTTTTAATGAATGTTTAACTTCTCATGGTGTTATTCTCCAGGAATGAAAAGCAGAAAGATGTCATGATAATCTGCATGTCACATTTCTTGAATCAAGAAAAGATGTTTGAGAAAAAATAAAATACCTAGGTGGATTTTTGAAGATAATATATGCATTGTACCTTTTCTCAATTTAACATTTACTTTCCTTTTTAAAAATACTTCTTGCCAAAACCGATTTGGCTCAGTGGATAAAGCGTCAGCCTGAGGACTGAAAGGTCCCAGGTTCGATTCCAGTCAAGGGCATGTAACTTGGTTACGGGCACATCCCCAGTAAGGGGGGTGTGCAGGAGGCAGCTGATCGATGTTTCTCTCTCATCGATGTTTCTAGCTCTCTATCCCTCTCCCTTTCTCTCGGTAAAAAATCAATAAAATATATATGTTTTTAAATATTTCTTATTGATTTTTAGAAAGAAAGGGAGAGAGAAAGAGAG